TTGATAGTTAGATAATTATGTTTATAATTAAATAATTATATGATAATTAATTATATTCAAATATATAAAAAGAAAAAAATATTCACTACCGTTCATAGGTTTGGGGTTAGTATGAAATATTATTAAATTATTAAGTAACAGTATTATTAGATTATGCAGTGTTGAATGGTCCTTCAGAAATCATTATTATTATCAATGTTGAAAACAGTTGTGCTGCTTAATAGTTTGTGTGGAACCTGTGATACATTTTTTGCGATATTTTTTGATGAATAGAAATTTCAAAATAACAGCATTTATTTATCTGTTTAATGTGTCTTTGCTGACGAAAAGTATTTATTTATTAAAAAGAAAAAAGTCTTACTGACCCCAAACTTTTGAATGGTAGTGTATATAATTCAGCTATTATATATGATAAGTTTCTGGTAACACTTTACAATAAGGTTCCTTAGTTAACTACCTTAGCTAACATGAACTAAGAATGAACAATACTTCTACAGCATTTATTAATCTTAGTTAATATTAATTTCAACATTTACTAATGCATTGGGAATCAAATGTTATATTTGTTAACATTAGTTAATACACTGTGAACTAACATGCACAAACAATGAACAGCTGTATTTTTATTAAATAACATTAACAAAGATTAATAAATAGTGTAAAAATGTATTGCTCATTGTTAGTTCTTGTTAGCTAATACATTAACTAATGAACCTTATTGTAAAGTGTTATGAAGTTTCTCTTTTCTTTTAGAAGTGTGGTTCCCATTTTTAACTTAGCATTATTTTATTCCCAGACCAAATAGCACCAATAAAGAAGGGTGGCCCTCATTACAGAGCTATGGGAAAATGGTTAACGGTTTAACCACAGAGCATCGCAAGTCCCCTCCTCTTTTAGACTGCCTAACAGACTCGGACCACATGACTCCAGACGAACCAGACCCTGAACAGGGAATAGAGCAGAACATGGGCCTCCCACCCTTCCCATCAGCCTTAGAGCCTACCAGGTACTGTACTGGAGAAGCCTAGCCAGTAGTGTTGATATCCAATGACTCATATCAAGTGACGGCACTTATTGTTTTTGTGCGTGCTTATTACACTGTGTTTTCATTTCAGTCCAATTGAGAAACCATCAGAACCCATAAGTATAGGAAACGGGGAAAATATATCACAGGTAAGTGCTAAAAAAAAGTGAATTGCTGATAATTGTTATCATGTTTTTGTTTTGTTTTTTTGATCCATCTGTCTGTATTTGGTTTGGCAGACATCCAGTAGCGAGTCCCCATCTCCTCCACCTGGCCTTACTAAACCCAGCCTCGTTGTGCCCATCAGCGTGGCCGAACTCGCAGCACGTTCACCCTTCGAAGGGGCGGCAGCGGAGTCTCAGTCTCTTTTCTCAGACAACAGCAATTTCAGACATCCCAACCCCATCCCCAGCAGCCTGCCCCCCTTCTCCAGTTCACCACAGGGAACCTCCGACTGGCCCATGACTCCAGAACCACAGAGCCTTTTCACCTCAGGTAGGCGCATGCAATGTAGTAGGATTTTGGAACAATAAGATTTCAGTGTAAGCGGAGCTAATCGGGTAAACCCATCAATCTCTCTTCCTTGTTGCAGACACTATCCCCGTGTCGTCCTCCACTGATTGGCAGGCAGCCTTCGGTTTCGGCTCTTCAGCCAAGCAGCAGCAGCAGGACGATGACCTGGGCTTCGACCCATTCGACGTCACACGGAAGGCTCTGGCCGACCTCATAGAGAAAGAGCTGTCAGTCCAGGAGCATTCCCCCCTCTCTCCCAACCCCTCCCATCAGACCAGCCTCCCCAACGGCCAACAGCGCCTTCCTCACCTCCAGCACAGAGGCCTCTATAACTCCTTCAGCCTTCCCCAACACATGGCCGCACGCCACCCCTGGATGGGCCTCCCTACCCGCAATAACCTCACACACTTGAACCACACGGCCACCGCAGCAGCTGCACACAGCCATTTCTTAGACCTGAGCATGCCGGCCCAGCACCACAGCACCGGCCTTGGGGGGATTCCTATATCAGGTTAGGGAATGCATCTGTCTTGTGCACTCCAGTTTTTATGAATCACCTGTGTGTGTGTGTATTAAAACACCTTGTCTAAGCAGAGTACTACAGATGCAGCCCACTGATCCAAATAGAAACAAGTTGAACTCATTCCCAGTTTGTTTATTGTTGTATTTTGCACCGAGTTGCCTTTTAATTGACCGTTCGCAAAGACCCGCCCCCTTTAGTTACTGTTGCTATGTCCGACAAAACCATGCCGCTCTTACAGCACACATCATGTTCTCACGTGGTGAAAAATACATCGCGAAGCAGAGAGGACACTGACAACGCGCTGACAGATGTGATATTAAACAAAGTCTCAACTTTTTTGGTCATTTTTTTTAAAGAAATTGAAACAATAAATACCGTTCTCTTTAATGTGTCGTGGCAGATCGCTGTAGCGCCTCGTTAAAGCTGCGCATGAACCAATCATCTCTTCCTTCTAGTTCATTTATTGCATCAAATAAACATGAATGAATATCAGAAGGAATCCACCGACGTTAATCTACTAACTCTCCTGACTGCCTTGTCGGACAAAATGACGGATGGCGGATTATGATTGGTCAGATCGCCTGTCAATCAAATTACCTGTGACGGGTGAATTGTTAACTTTTTTATTTGTTTTAAATAAGGCAGATATAAATATGAATATTAAATGAAATACTTAAACGAAAATTAGAAACGTTGCCTTGGAAACTAAGTGAAATATATTTCAACTGAAAATATAAAAATAAATGGTAAAAAGAAAATCGAAACCATTATATTCAGTGACGTGACACCAACAGTAAATTGATGCCCCGTTCTATTCCTGATGTTCTTTTGCTACTCCTGACAACAGAAATGGTTCCAGAACATTTGCTCTGACAGATTCGGTGTACACATGATGTAAGGATACAAAAAGTAAAAATGTTTCATTAATTTTTTTCTCTTTCAGAAAACAATGGCTCTTCAGAAAGCATAAATGTGAAAGAGTGGCAGGACGGACTGCGAGCACTCCTACCAAATATCAATATCAACTTCGGTGGCCTCCCGAACTCTACCTCTTCCTCATCCTCCTCCTCTACTTCCAGTGTGAATCACATCGGGGTGCCGGTAGGCCCAGCTGGAGTCTCGCACAGCCTCAGCTGGGACAGTGCGGCCAGTTGGATGGACCCCGCCATCATCACAGGTGCGGTTTGTGTTTTATAAACTAGTTACGGATAAAAGCTTTGCTGGTAATAGTGCTAAATCGTGTCCATTTCCAAACTCCAGGTATCCCAGCATCCACAGGCAACAGTTTGGACTGTCTCCAGGATGACAATCCGCCACACTGGCTCAAGTCACTGCAGGCTCTCACAGAGATGGACGGACCGCCCAGCTCCAGCGCACTCCCACAGCCCCCTCACACTGGCCTCCTGGACGCGGCGGCCCACCTCTCCTTACACAGAGCCGCCTGGGCCCCCTACCTCCCCCCGCCCACACTCACCCCAAGTCAGTTCCACTCCCCCCCTCCAGGCTTTCAGACAGCCTTCAGACCCCCAGCACAGACGGCCACAGACATCCTACAGAGTGCCGGTATCGACCGTCACTAAAGACAACCCTTGATTTAACTGCATTACAAACATGAAACTGCAAATATACCACTTCCATTAATAACGTAACATAAGCTCTCGTCTTTCTACCCTTTCCCTCTCCATCCCTTTCCCATCAGGATTTGTTTGTCTGCTGTCACTTTTTTTTGAAGGCACACATACGTCTCTGTATTATGAGCACCATCAGTGCAGGGTAATGATTTGAATGAAGGTGTCTGGCAGACACTGAGGGTCCTAACACATATACACACACCTTCACATATGATTCTGAGGGGGGAAAAAAAGAGTCTGACATTGAAATGTGCAGAGAAAACCATGAGCACTGATGTGTACATGTGACTAATAATGGCTAAACGGAATGTGCTTAAGTGAATAACATGTCTGATTGGCCTCACTCCTTCACCCAAGGTACAGACTGAAATTTAATACTGTGAATCTTTACACTTCCCGTATGTTAGGTCTCACCACCACTCAAAGGAAACGGAAGCGGATTATTTTAAGATAAGTCTATGTAATGCTCTCAGCTTCTTACACGCTTAATGTTTACGGGCCACAGGTAAGATGTTTGAGGGCATTTGTAGAGTCAAGACCCTGGTCCTCTTTGGAAGGGACTTCATTAATGACAGAGTGGAACCTTCTATATCTTAGGGAGGAACCCATTTTGTATTCAGGGGGTTTGTCTAAAGCGTCTTAGGGCAAGGATGGTGATGTGAGACCTGACATGCTGCTACAGGATGTCTGCAGTAACTTCATTCCCATGAAGAAAGGCGAGCAAGACCTCTGTGGAAGTGTTTATTGGCTTGCCTATAGAATAAGCCATTCATACAAGGTATGAATCAGGAATCGAGTCTGGAACCTTGGGAAGGATTGTGATGGTAATAAAGGCAGACATGTCAAGGCATGATTGCAGATAATACGAGTGTTGAAGGCAAAAAGACAGCGCACACTAACATGCCCCCATTCCAATGCCTTCAAATGAGTTCTACTCTTTTCTTTCTCATCTGTGTGGCCATACTAAACAGTATTTATCAAACGCAATCACTCATTCTTTCAGGAAAAAAAATCAATGTAGTCCGACATTTGGGTTTAACATGCTGCTGAAATCATTTAATGCAAAATAAAGCGCTAAAAGAGAAGAATTTACCCCCTTTTCTGCTGGTCTGGAACAATGAAATCTTAAATAAAATTGAGTATTCAGTGCCTCTGTTTGATTCTCTTTTTTTCTGATGTAGAAACAGTAGAATTGTTTTCTTACATGAGGCATTTTATTGTCCAATGATGAAATTATTGACATTGAAAACATTTATAGCACATAATGAAATCCATGGTAAATCATACATTTTTGAAACGGTGAATAACAAAGTCTATAAACAAGTTTGTGTTAATGTATCAAGTGTCACAACGTGTGAAGCTTTAGCACACCGTTCCGTTCTCCATGCGAGACTTAGGACAGGAGGTACGGGATGGTGGAGGAGGCTGAATCGATGGTGCCAGGGTGCAGAAGAACCCGGCTATGAGGGTCAGTCCCAGCCCTCCCCAGGCACTGAACATGGACCAGCCGTAACCATGGCTTATATCATCCGGGAGGCTGAACAGATAACGTGGGTAGCGAGACAGTTCGAAGTTGATGCCGGCCACACAGGTGCACAGAGAGATGATGCAGAAGGTACCTGTGGTGGGACATGATACTAATTGGTAGCTGTTCAAAAATAGGGGAGAACATCACATTAAGGAGCAATTCAGTGAATTAACATACCTCCCATTAGGAAGAGTAGACCAGCAACGTAATGCATGAGGCCTTGCTGCCAGCAACAGCCCAAAACGCCAATGGTCCAGCCAAAGAGAATGATGGATAGGGCCATGCCCATGAACCCAGCTGTCATCCGACGCAAATCTGGAGGGGAACATAGCAAGTTACTGGGGGTGCCCAATCCTGCTCGTTGATTACTACTATCTTGTAGAGTTTAGCTCCAACCTGTTCCAGCACACCTGGTAGGAATTTCTAGTAATTCTGAAGGCATTGATAGGTTTGTTCCAGCTGAACTTGACAGGAAGGTGGCAATTCCAGGAACAGGATTGGATACCCTTGCTTGAAACTCTGCTGCTATATCAAATACACTCATTTGCTTTAAGGTGCAGTCACGTTTACTGTTGCTTCGCCAAATTTTGAGGGCGAAATCCAATTCATTCCAAGAATGAAATTTCCCTAATGTGACTGCCCCTTTATCCAGGGCCCAGTAAGTATAGTCAAGTCAAGTCACCTTCATTTATATAGCGCTTTTAACAATATACAGTTTCAAAGCAGCTTTACAGTGATAATAGGAAATTAAAGTGACAGATTTTTTTGTCTTTACAGCAGCTCTAGAATAAAGTTATTGTCCAGGTAAACTTAGTTTTTATTGATTCACTTCCGTTGCAAAGATCATTAGTTATTTACTTAGGGGCCGCTAATACGACACCGTTCTAACAGAAAACCCTTAATGTGCTCCGACCAGCTCATTCGCACAACAACAGTGCCTGGTGGCTCGAGAACACAAACCTTGAAATAGGTTCCAAGGTGCAAGCGTTGAATTTTTATTTTAGAAGTTATCATCTCTGCGTAAACTTCAAAAACGTGAATCTATGAAAACGCTGACGGCGTGCACATGCGTATTACGTGTTTAGTCTATAGATATGACCGTTTGAATATATATGTGCGCAGGCGTGTAGTCTTTCTTTACAAATTGACCTCAACAAATGACTTGTCTGGCCGTAAACATGTATAATACAGTTTTTTTTATCGCTTCCGTGTAGCCATGTGAATTGGAATTATTCTGACACCGTTTTATCTGTACAGAGGTAAAGGGAAGGGAAGGAGGCCTTCACAGGGGAGAGACTAGTTGACACTTCAGGACTGCGTTGTCGTCGTGTCCAGGCGCATGTCCTTCATCAGATCTGGATACGGCTTGGATCCGGTGGAGTGCGGTAAACCTCGGGATAAACAGAGAGACTAATATTAGCGTAGACGCCATTCTTCTTACGATGTAACGAGTACATCAAGATTTATGGGAAGTGTTCCCGGTTCCGGCTGACCTAATCTATGCAGCCAAACATTGAATTATAGAAGTTGATAATGTGTTATGTGTATGCTAGGTCAAAGAGATGTGTTTTAGTCTAGATTTAAACTGACAGAGTGTCTCTGCTTCCCGGAGAATGTTAGGAAGACTGTTCCAAAGTTTTGGTGCTAAATAGGAAAAGGATCTACCGCCAGCAGTCGATTTTAATATTCTAGGTATTATCAACTATACAGAACTTTGAGATTGCAATAGTCGTGACGGACTATAATGCGTTAAGAGCTCACTCAAGTACTGGGGAGATAAACCATTTAGTGCTTTGTAAATAATTAGCAATATTTTACAATTTATACAACGTTTAATAGGGAGCCAATGCAGTGTTGACAGAACCGGGCTAATATGGTCATACTTCCTGGTTCTGGTAAGAACTCGAGCGGCTGCGTTTTGAACTTGCTGTAGTTTGTTTATTAAGCGTGCAGGGCAACCACCCAGTAGAGCATTACAATAATCTAGCCTTGATGTCATGAACGCATGAACTAATTGTTCCGCATTTGTCATTGAGAGCATATGACGTAATTTAGATATATTTTTAAGATGGAAGAATTCGGTTTTACAGATACTAGACACGTGACTTTCAAGTGAAAGATTGGTATCAAAGAGCACACCCAGGTTCCTAACCGAAGACTTGACAGAGCAGCCATCAAGTGTTAGACAGTATTCTAGGTTATTACGTGAGGACGTTTTTTGTCCAATAATTAGAATCTCTGTTTTTTTTTCAGAATTAAGTAGTAGGAAATTACTAGTCATCCAGTTTTTTATATCAGCTATGCATTTCTTTAATTTTGTGAATTGATAAGTTTCGTCAGGGCATGAAGAAATATAGAGCTGAGTATCATCAGCATAACAGTGAAAACGAATGCCATGCTTCCTAATGATTCCTAATCGCATGGTAGTATACTAGTAACACTGCTTAGAGGACCATAGTGCCATAGTGGGAAGACCCCTTTGTAAGAGGGCCTGGGATAACACTGATGCAGATCGAAAAGAGCAAGTCCCACTCACGCAGGGCATGCCAATCATCTTGCTGGATAGTCTTGGTGATGTTGTAGGAAAGATCCTTTCGAGTCACTGCAGGGGAGGAGTAAAAGTACCTTATAAAGGAGCAACGCTCGATAGTTCCTGGAAAAACAAGAAAATCAGAATCAGCATTACATCTGATCCCAGTATGATCCCAAGCTCCAAGATGTAAAGTGGGTCCAGACAGTTGTTAGTGGTTGTCAAGCTCATGGTTAGTTGGACCAGGTCCCCTGTTGAGCTGAGCCTGCTTATGCATATGGACAAGTGTCACATTTAGATGTGTAAACTACACAGATGGTCAACTGAGTACAGCTCATTTTGGACTAAATAAGTAGTTCTCAAGTACCCTAGCAGACCATGTCAAATTCTTGGAGCCTCTACTAATGAGTTGATGAAAATATATCAAGTGTACTGAATGAGGTAGTTACACATTCAAAATGTGTATTGCTCAGGTACTCCAAGACCGATTGCAGACCACTGATCTAAGCCATTACAATTCATATAGAGAACAGAATGTATAACTACAATTAATGTTCAGAGATGCTCATTATGTTCAATATTGAGGAAAATATCCAACGGTGCCCTGTGCAACTGATTATAATGAAATGGCATTTTACTCTGATGCATATTATAAACATTGCAAAGCAGATGCTACAATAATGTGAGCCTGGAAAATGCCATTTCAAGCAAGAAGACATGTCTTCTAGCTTGAAATGGCATTTTCCAGGCTCACATTATTGTAGCATTTGCTTTGCATCAACACAGCCAACACATTCCTATAAGACTCAGTTGGATGTTTTTACCTTTGTGAATGAGCTCTTCGATGTCTGGGTCAAATCCCACCCTGTAGCATTGGCTCCACAGACCCATGTTGGTTGAATTGTAGCGTCTGCTGCACTCATCCGCCGCGCTCATCGCGAACAGCTGACGCCGGTTTCTAGTCAGAAGCAGTCGGTTTTCCCATCGGTCCAGGTTCGCTCGGCTGGCTCGCAGTGGAAGGCTGTGGTTGGGGATGTATATAAAACCCGGATCGCTCCTGCGGTTCGAGAAAGTTCGGCAACGTTCCTTGTATCTCCTCGCGTCCGTTTCGTACCAGTGATCCGATGAGATTGCAATTGTCAAGAAACACAAGGCGACGAGAGACAGACAGAGACCCGTGTACAGAAGCCACTTCCCCGTCGCCATCGTTCTGCCAGGCCGCCGATCAGCACCTCATGGTGGACAGCTCCTTTCACCGACGCAGCGAGTCAATCCTGCTTCAGCATCTCTTAGCGCGTTAAAAAAGGCAAATGGTGTGCTTGCTGTAAACATGCCCTTTTAAATGAATGAGATACGTCGACTATTACAAAAAAAAAAATCCCGTTCCGTCTGTAATTTCCTCTATAGCCTGCTGCCCTGCTCGTAGACTGTATTGGACGAGCTCTTCCTCTCTGAGCTGCTGCAGGCAGGGACACACGACAATCACACAGAGGAACTGAGAATCATGCGAAAATCATGAGTGAAAAATAAATTACAAATAAAAGAACTGGAAATTATTAAAAAATGACGACTGAAAGGGAATTTAAAAATAAAGGAACTGGAAATTATTAAAAAATGACTACTGAAAAGGAATTTAAAAATAAAGGAAATAAAAATGATTGAACAGTTATGACTGAAAAGGAATTTAAAAACTGAAAAAGATTTTAAAAATTGATTCGTTCAAATGAATCACTGCAAATACAAAAGTAACTTTTAAATTATTTCGATTATTTTACCCACTTAAAATTGAGCAGTTGGTTTGATTTACCACGCTTCATATTCTGATTGTGTATTTAACTCCTTAAATATAGAAAATAAATAAATACCACCCCACACCACACACACACACGAGACACTAAAGCTTACCATTCACTTGGTCTTTGTTGCTTTCTCATGTTAAGCATGTTATCAACAGCAGTTAAAAGTTCTGAACAAAATAAGCTTCAAGACTGCTTTAAAGTCACGAATAAAAGGGTTAATGACTCGTAGTCATTCAAAATGAAGAATGTTTATTGGTAATGGATGCACAGACAGGGGCAATTTACACAATGGCCTCCATGGGGATCAGATTGTTGGGTGGTTATATAGGTCTATATAAATATGTACATACATATACCTTAAACAGAGAAGAGTGGAAAATGATCAACAAAAAAAGCATTTCCTGACACTTAAAAAAAAAAAATCTAGACTTAAGTAAAACATATTCAATGAATAAAAATTATATAAATGAATTTGATGTGATTTTATTAATTGTATCTCCCAGTATATGTTGACCTATTAAGGTATGTAAAAAAGCCAAAGTAATATTTGTTTTATGTGATGCAGCATTTCACTTTTTTTTTCATGTTTATAACATGTCTATCCTCTTGTTTCACAGACAAGGCTCAAGTCTTTAGTCCCAGACTAAAATGCATGTTTGAGCCGTTTTAACTTGAAAGAAATTTGCACTAACATATCTGAAAATGTCAAAACCATTGTTTTGTCTCAAGATGCAAACCAGTAATTTTTTTTTTTATAAGGCAAATTAAAGGCAACATTTTTTTATAAGTTTTTTTTTATTAGGCCTGTCTGTGAAACCAGGCCTAAGTGTCCAGGCTCTCATTATTGTAGCATTTGCTTTGCAAAATTGAAAATGTAAATCTGAAGACTTTCAGGCATTGGTGTGTTTGATCAGGGTTGGAGAAACTCTGCAGGATGTTAGTCTTCAGGAGCAGGGTTGACACCCCTGTTCAATCCTAAAAGAAAATATCTAGTTGAAAACCTCTCTTACCTTAAACTGGAAACATTTCTCAGGGGATACAGAGGTTTCAAAATGTGCTAAATAACAGCATGAACATGTTCATGTTTTGTCAGCATCTTATACCAATGTTCACAATTAATTAGCAGTTTTTTTGTTTGTACTGAAAAGTAATATTAATATACAACTACTTTCTGCAAAGTCAGAATGTCCAGCAACATGGGCAAATGTTTTGAGTCATTCCTGGGATTCTGTGCCTTGTGTCCCCAGTAAAGATCATGATCTTACTGCCAACATCAACTTTAAACCTGTCATAGTCATAAATAACACCATTTAAAATTAAGCATATTGAAGTTGATTAAAGTCGATGCAACAAAGCAATTTTAGCCTTCAAATTTGACGTGGTCGACCTCAACGCGTCCACAGTCTGTTGAAAGGAATTTGAAACATAACAGTCGAACAGTCACTTAAAAACCACACAATTATTCATTTGATAAACCTGTTAACTTTGTATAGGTGGATAAAGTAATAACAGGGTGGACAAGTTATACACACCCAATAGGAAACAATAAAATATTAAATATTAAAAAGGCCTGTTCACACCAATACCTATAACGAATTTAAGAAGGTCACGTTACGCAAGCCTACCATGTGTAAGTTAAGTGCAAACAAAACATCTTTTAACGTAAGGGTTAAAAAGCTAAACACTCAACATGGAAGTAAAAAACACCACATCTAGTATTTCTAAAACGCTCTTTATTCAGTGGTTTACTTCAGTTTTCTCAAACAAGAATATTAGATTTACCAAAAACAAACAAAAAAAAACGCCCATTTAATGATCAGATAGGGGGCGCCATCAGACATAGTTACCAATGAAATGATTTAATGCAGTTCCGTTAGAAGAACGTTGACAAAAAACAAAAAAAAACAAAAAAAAAAATACAACACGAAGCATGATTCGAGCACTTACACCAGTCTGTTGTACACAACGCAATGAAACGGCTGTCTCGGAGGAATCCTAACCCGCAGCGAGTGTGTGAGCACGGGCTTGTTTGCAGGATCACTGGAGAGGTCCGCAAAAGTTCGCCATGCTCAGTTTAATCTGCTCGGGCTGCTGGAAGCCCACAGATCTGAAGCCTGTGCAACAGAGTTGAACTCTTCGCGGCAGCAGGACTGTCCGCGCACAAAACACTCAAACCTGTGAGACCGAGCATCAGAGTACTCTAGAGCTTTTTTACACGAATCGGAACCACGGAAAACTTCCTGTAATATACTGAAAGCTTAAGACAAAACAGTATAAATACCGTACAGGAAGCCAGAGAGCGTTAGGGTTAGAAGAAGTACTCTGTTCTTTCCTTTACGCGGTGACGGTTTATATAGTGTTGATGATGTCATGAGTATGGACCCTCCCACTTATCTCTGATTGGCTAGATCGCCCGCCAAATTGCTGATTAAACTCAATCCCATTTGATACTAGGCACTAATTGCATTATTCAACTCAAATTAGACAAAAACAACATGATTATGAATATGGTCGTGGAACCCCTTCAAATAGCCACATCCTGGAAATTGAACTTTATTAATTGAAAATAAAGAATATGTCAATCCATAACACATATGTGATTGAACAAATTGCAAAGATTAGGCTCAGATTATTTATCAAAATAAATTGTTCAGTCGTGACGTCATGGGTTCGCTCTTGAATTTCTAATGGGCTTTTAGAATGGTTGTTAGATTTAGTGAAATAATACTGTGGTTACCATTACCTGAAAAAAAAAACGTTTCTCTCACAAAATAAAATACATGCAGTTATTATTTACAGCTAAACGCTAAAATGTATTTATTTTTTAGTTTAATGACATATAGGCCAACCTGAAAATGATGCCGCCTTCATGTGTTATCGGAATTATCGTAAATAGACAGGCCTAAAGTTACTTGTTTTCTAGCCTAGTTAAAAATAATTCGACATGAACGCTCTCTCAACTCAAGTCATAATTTGAATATGATGTGGTCGTAATCACGACTTCAGAACTGGGAAGTAGGAAATTTCCGATAGCACATGAAGATTCTTCATCACAAATTAACACAACCTTTGTGAATTTTGAAGCCTAAAAACAATAGGCAGAAGAAAAAAGCTAAAGTAGCTAAGCTATGAACGACTACATGACTTCCGGGTCACTAAACTTTCAACAACTCTTTCAATGCCTATATATAGATATATAACGTTAGATATAAAAAACATTTAGCATGAAAGAGAGGGATAACAAACTCGTGATTAATTCGGTGTGATAACGTTTAATGTCTCCACATATCCTCTGTAGTCCCATTTAGCCACTTATTAGCAACTGCCTTTCTCAGACAAGTAAAAGCTTTTAAACTATCATAAGGGGTAGCTATTAATGATGTATTTTATGCTGTAGAATAAAACGTGAAAAACTTCCAAACCTAATCTCAGGAAATTTTACATACAAAAAAAAGGAATCAGACGTGGTAAAATGCTAACTCGTTTCCAGGTTTTTGGCCTACAGAAATACGTCAACCCCTCCAGCACTCCATGTCATAGGCCTAACTTACAGGTTTGGAACATCATGAGAGTGAGCAAATAGTGAATATTCACTTTGAGCGAATTTTTCCTTTAATCTTTCACATTTGCTGTTATTTATGCAGGAGTTTGTTGTTTCCAGTAGATGGCAGTAGCGACACACTCGCTGTCTAGTCCAGCTGTCTTCTGTGTGAGAAATCATAATACGTCCTCTACTGTTCTTGAGTGAAAGTGAGATGTCCACCACCGGACACCAGGTATACCACCACCTAAAATGATTATATTTCTGCACAATAATTGTAACAAACAATAATCCTTTCTCTATGAATATGCATTCAGCTTATTAACATAATAATCTAACATGTCACTGTCATTGCAAACACGCATGTAGGCTACCATAGTGATGCACATTAAACTGAATGATATAATCCCATAATTTGCTTTTAGCTATCTTTTCGGTGCTGAGGCAGCATTTATTGGTGGGTAGGTGAGCAGGGTATTAATGCAGACAGACAGCATATTCTGGGCCAGTGACAGTGAGTCAGCACCCACAGCAGAGGGGGAGAGAGAGGGAGGGAGAAAGAGGGAGCGGGAAAGGAAGGAAGGGGGGGGGTGTAAAGTTCTACATTACTAACCAAAAAGCTGCAACCGACAAAACACAAAAAGAAGCATGCATATAACACAAATCATTTTTAAAGGGCAAGCAATGGGGTTTTTGCATGCACACTTTGTTGCTACTGATACACATGGACATATTGCACCATACTGCAGTGAATCTCCTTGATGCCGTTGAGCTGACATTGAAGAGGCTTAGGAATCTTATTGCATTCCTTGTTATTTATACATACCTTTCTGACTGTCACATTAATGCTTGTTTGCAGTTATTTCACATTCTCATGCCAGGACTGATTTGGATGCCAATGAGTGAGATATTCTTTGCTGCAGGAGTTTTCTCACTCACTCTCTCACGCAGGCGCTCTAAACTGCTGAATTCTCTGCTTCATGGAAGACTGCAGAAGCCTGCTGGGTGCTGCTGAGCCTTTCTGACCTGACTGTCCTTGACTGCTCTTGAGAGAATGATGGAGGGAGAGAGTGGGAGAGAGAAAGAGAGAGCTCCGAAGCACTGGCACAAAACTTCTCGCTCTTCATGCTTCGCAAAAAAAAGAAAAAAGACCACTTGGATCA